GGCTCGACCAAGGCCTACAGGCCCATTTTTGGGGTCACCACGCAACTGAGGAAATTCAGGCAGTTGCTCAGCGGCAGTTGGTTGAGAGCACCCAGGCCCAGGCTGCCTTTTTCGTATGTAACTGAGGCAAGCCCTGGGCCAGATACCCAACATGGGCCGAACACAGGCTGCGGGCAGTTGGGCACGGGTAACCACCACAGGCCCTGGTCCTGATTCGTTCGGACTGGGGCTCAGCCTCTTGGTGCCTACCGGAAGCTTCTGGACCGAGGCCCAATGCAGGCAGGCCGCACGCAGCAGGCAAGTCACTTCCATTTAGGAAAGTGCCTGCCCCAGGACTCCTCATTCGGCACTGGCTGCATGCTGCGCAAGCGCTGCTGCGCTTAACGCTGGCCAGGCTCACGCGCTCACGGGCGAGCAGGGAGAGGCAGGCAGCCATAGCCGAGCTGCGCTGCATAGCTGGAGGGGGCGCATGGTGGTCCTTGGGTGCACGTGGCATCTGTGAGTGGGGGATCGAGGTTGTGAGTGATACGAGAGACATACCGGGTGCTTGAGGCGAACGACATTGGCCGAGATCTGCTCGTACTTGGGGGAGCTGTCGACGTCACCAGCGACATTTTAGATAGGCTAGATAGGATCTGCCACTTGTAGTCTGGGCACAGAGCGCCAGATAGGATGTCGACATTGGTTCTTTGTTGATGATGATGATGAGACTATTCCAACAATGTCACTCATGAGCTTTTGCGGTGCTCTTATTTGGTGGAACTCGTGTCGCAATTCTGCTTTTGGTTCGAGGTCACGACTATATGGTCTCATGTGTATGATGCTGCTTGGTTTCTGAAGTTCGTTATCACTCATTTTCCTTGCAATTTGGTATTAGAGCTGTGGTACGGTGCACTAATCTGGCGCTTGTCTTCTGCCTACGCGGTACATGCATGCGGTCTGCTGGGCGAGGGGCCGTAAGGAGTGTGTAGTGAGGAGGGCGAAGGCAAGTAGGGCGACCCAGGAGGTGAGGGGTATCGCCAGGAAGGCTATGCGGTGTATAGTGGGTGTTCGCAGTATGATGAGAACTATCTGATGTGTGATTGATGCTGAGGTGGAACGGCGGTGTAATGCTGGTTGTGTCGAAGCAGCGATTGGTCATCATAGTTGGCATCAGGTCATCTGGTGAGAACATCTGTGGTTGGGGGCAGCTATTTTGAGGTACGTTGCTCTTAACCTTATCTACCCTCTTCGACACTTCTTACTGTGAGGATGTGTGTTCTGTCTTGAGAGTCCTCTCATGTGAGGAGTCGAGTGCGCTCAACCTTGAGAGTCGGCATTGTTCACGTGGAGCATCTGGAAGGAGAGGGCGGAGCTATCTAAAGGGCCCTGGACGAAGCACCGGGTCACGGTCACCATGCCAACCCACCGGGAGTAGAGCACGCATGCTTTGCTGCTTTGTCCTTTGTCTGCCTGCTGCGCTGATAGATGGGTGATGAGGGGCAGGCCAGCCCTACAGGGGAGACGAGTATTGGGCGTCTATAAATAAGCACCGCTGGGGTACCTTCCATTGGTTGTGATCGTCATCCTGTCGACAACGTTAAATAATTCCTGAGGATTTCGGGGGGCGTCCTAAAACGCCTCCTGATCAGCCAATCGGTCGGTGTAAGGCTCACTGCACACGAGGATAAAAATAGTGCAGGGCTGGCCAGCTCAGCATAAACTCGGGGCACAGGGGTGGGCCGTGTGCACACCTTTAGACACGCACGCTGTTCTGGATTGCTCAGGGACGCTGACGTCAAGAGACCATCAAGGGGCTATCAAGAGGAACTGAGGGAGGGGTAGATTCCAGGTGATAAGTTCGTGTTCAATTCCACTCTGCAAATATCCACACTGAAGATTCTATTTTTATTTTGACTAGTTAGATGACTGCCATTGACATCTGAGAAACAACATTAGATAGAAATCTGCTCTCTGTTTGTGGACTAATTAAGTAAAAATAGTTTCGTTTGTAGGAATCTGAACTTAGCTGTTGGACCCGAATGCGTAGACTCTGAAATAGCCACCGGTTAATTATAAATGAGGCTGTGCATGACGCTGCGGTAGGCATCGAGTGACTGACCTAGTGCAGATTGTGTCCAGTTCTGTAGCTTATGAGCGACGAGGAGGAAACTAGAGAGGACAACAGGATCCTGCGATCAGCGAGGCGCCCAATAGCCCACTTGGCATTAGGACCAAAGGGCGACAGAGTCCTGTTCCGCCAGCAGAGAGAGAGGCAGAAGCAGCAGCGAAGAGCTAGGGCTGCAGAGGCAAGCAGGGCATTAGCAAGCAAGGCTGCTACTTCAGCAGCCATCGCAACTGCTGCGCAGCAGTGCTCTCAGGCTAGTAGTTCAGGGACTGTAGGGTCAACGGTCGCACAGACCCTGAGTCAGTCCACTGGTGTCATGGCAAGCCAGCCATTAGTTCTGACTTCCGAAGAGATCGCCATACGACAAGCAGATGCTCAGGAGGCACAACTACAAAAGGCTTTAGGGGAGATACAGGCAGAGAAAGAGAGAATGATTAGGAGAAGAGCAAGGATGCAGCGGAGACAAGCGGACATTAGTGAGTTAGAGGAGACGAACCTGACGAACGTGGATGATAATGTGAGGACCCTGAGGACGGTCTTGCTAGATGTGGTAGAAATGCAGGATCACCAAATGGCGCTCTTACAGGACATCCAGCAGAGCCTGGTCGTGCTGGTCGGGCGAGCGCAGGCGACACCATCACCATCAGGGCCCGATGCCTGGCCCGTGGGACCTCCTCCTTCCGTTCTTCCGGTGACTGGGGTATCCCCATACATAGCTCCAGCATCGGTACAGACCGCTTCCCTACGAGCCTTTGACATGAGGGTTCTCAACAGGTCTTAGTGTACAGATTCCTGTACAGACAATTATTCCCAACCTCCGTCGCAGGTTGTCGTGACTGAGCAGCCTGCTGTCTCGCAGCCAGCACAACAACTGGGCACACATCCCAACAGCCGTTAGTGCAGCAACCTGCGCTTCAGGGTCCACAACCCGAAGTGGGGCAGGTACGGCGACAAGGCCAGTGGGTTCCAAAGACGGCCATCGCCTCACCCAAACCCTTTTCAGGGGACAAGAGGGGCGAAGACCTCGACACATGGTTGAGGTCAGTGCCTGTCTACATTAAGTGCAAGTTGACCTTGCCACACGAGGAAGTGTTTGTGGCTGCCTCCTATCTCGAGGGGAGCGCAGCACGATGGTTAAGTGGGCTAGTGCAACTGCAGGGATATGGACACGACTTCCGCGTTTGGGCAGTCAACCAGAAACTGGAAGACTTCCTCAAGATGGTGGAGGATGGCATCATCCTCAGGAGGCCCAAAAGGCCACTGATGCGATCCTGACTTTGAGCAACAGACCGTTCAAATCAGTGAGGGATGGCACAAATGTTGTAGAGCGTTTGATCTGTGTTCCTGGAGTACGCTATGACCCCTAAGTCTTAATGACAACCTACCTGAGGTGTCTTCCCATGCCACTCAGGAATCAGTTGGCAGGTGAGGCGAACATCAATGTGCACAACTTTCCCTCGTTTAGCAAGAAGGCCCTAAACCTGGATGCAAAGATAGGGCACGTGCACCAACCCACGACGGACAGAAGGAAGAAAGCACTGCCTCCCAACTGGAAGGCGAAGGGTAGCATCATGTTCGTTGACAACGATGGTTCTACCATCGAATTAGATGACGACTTCCAGGAGGGAGTAGGTACAGAGCCGGGCAGCGTAGAGGCTTCAGGGGGTGGAGCAGTCGCTGCCTCAGTGCAAAAAGGCAAGGCGACCGGTAGACGCTGTGGAGGCTCCCGATCTAGGAGTCAAGTTGACCCCAATGCTCCTCCATGGGAGAAAGCGGGTCTTACTGAGGACGTGTGGAGGGATTGGTACACTCGACACGCTTGTATCCGTTGTGGCCAATATGGCCATAATCAGTTCAAGTGTCGAAATAAGAAGGTGACTGAAAAGATCCCGCCTACAATGGGGCAGGCGTTGGGATCCTCCGCTTCCATAGGTAGCAATGTAGCCAGCAGTTCTGGCACTGCTCCGGGAAACACGTCGGGCCAGTAGGATAGTAGTTGTTCCTGCTAGGGTTGAGGTGGTGGACACACCCTCACCATCTCGAGAGATGGCCCAAGGTACTGACTCCGGTGCCGTCCCACAAACACATTCGGACCCATCGATCCTTTGTTCGTTGAATGTGTTTGAATCCTTAGAGGAGCTAGAGGAGGAGTGGTCTAGATCAGACCCGCTAGCTTCTTGGACGGCTATGGCAAAAGCCCCTAAGGGTGACTTGTTCGTCGGCGAGGTAGTCATCGGCGGCCGCAAGGCCGGGGCCTATTATGACACTTGCTCGACATGAAACTTTATTAGTCGCGCGTGCATTGAGAGGCTGCGCTTACAGGGGCAAGTGCAGCGCCTGAGTTGACCTGTGGAGTCGACATGTGCCAACAAACAACGCATGGTAGTCAACGACTACCTTAAGGACGTTGAGTGTTGTTTCCCGTACGCAGGAGGGGAACTGAGACATCGCGTCTCGTTCCTAGTCAGCGATGATCTCGCGATGGACATCCTGTTAGGTATGTACTATCTTTCGGTTGCACAGCCCCAGTTTGACTGGGACAGAAAAGTGGTCAAACACACTTTGCTCGGAGGGGGTACTGCCAGATTACGTAAGTTTAAAGCTAGTAGTCTTATCGAGTCCTACGGATGCATGTGTGCGGCCGCATTTTATAATTATTATAAGCAAAATCCGGAGAAGGGTATGTACTTAGTTTATGTCTCTGCAACAAGCGAGCCGGTGAAAATGCCGCCGAAGATAGAGGGAGTAGTCGCTAAGTACCTTGATCTATTTGAAGAGTCGAAAAGAGTTGTTGAGAGGGAGGTCGTCCACGAGATAGAGATTATCCCAGGGTCTAGCATTTCGAAGGGTAGGATCTATCGGATGTCTCTAGGCGAGCTTGATGAGCTCCGCCGGCAACTCAAGGAACTTGTAGAGAAGGGTTGGATCCGACCTAGTGTCTCCCCTTACGGATCGCCAGTCTTATTTGTACCCAAGAAGGGGGGGGACCTTGAGGATGTGCATTGACTATAGGGGCCTCGATGCCATTACTGTGAAGAACGCAGAGCCCCTACCGAGCATCGACGAGTTGTTGGACCGAGTGCACGGGTGTCGGTACTTCAGTAAGATAGATCTGAAGTCCGGGTACCATCAGATTGCAATCCGGCCCGAGGATCAATACAAAACCGCTTTTCAGGCCAGGTACGGTTTGTACGAGTTTGTGGTGATGCCTTTCGGCCTTTGCAATGCTCCTGGCGCCGTTCAGCACGCCATGAACCAGATCGTTCATGACCACTTGGATAAGTTTGTCATTGTGTACCTCGATGACATACTTATCTTCAGTAGGACTGTCGAGGAGCACGTTGGTCATTTAGATAAAGTCCTTAGTCTCCTTCAGCAGCACAAGTTCAAGATCAACGGGGAGAAGTGCGAGTTTGGCTACACCCGGATCTTGTATTTGGGTCATGAGATTTCCGCGGAGGGATTAAAGCCCGATGACGCGAAGGTGGCCAGCATTCGTGGCTGGCCGCATCCTCAGTCTGTGACTGAGATGAGGTCCTTCTTAGGGATGACCGGCTACTACTGCAATTTTGTCAAGAGTTATAGTATAGTGGGCGCCCCTTTGACTGACCTGACACGCCTTGACACCCCATGGGAGTGGACAGACAAGTGTGAGGCTGCTTTCCGACATCTAAAGTATGCCCTCACTCACCATGAGGTCTTGAAACTGCCCGATCTTGACAAGCCGTTTGTTGTGACCACGAATGCCAACCAATATGGCATTGGTGCCGTACTTGCGCAGCAAGAGGGGAAAAAGTTGAGGCCGGTAGAGTACATGTCCAAAAAGATGCCCTCTCAAAAATTGGCCAAGTCCACTTATGAGAAGGAACTCTACGCGATTTACAAAGCGTGGACTCACTGGAGGCACTACCTCCTTGGTCGCTTCTTCTACGTCAGGACTGATCATCAGACCCTGAGGTGGATGAAGACTCAACCGGTACTCTCCGATGCCCTGAAGCGATGGATCGAAGTCATAGAGCAATATGACTTTGAACCCCAATACATCAAGGGGGAATACAACAAGGTTGTTGATGCGTTGTCGCATAGGCCAGACTTCCTGGGTACGCTGGTCACTGAATTTGGGCTTGCGGACGATGTTACTTAGTCTTTGGTGGAAGCCTATCGTGAGGATCCGTTTATGGCCGAGATCATACGCAGACTCGAGGCAAAAGACAAAGCAACTGCTGATGAGTTTGTGTTGGTCAACGGCCTGCTGTTCCTTGAGAGGCCGGGAATAAACGCTTGTGTGTTCCAAATCGGGAGTCTTTGCGTAGTTTATTTTTAGGCGAATGTCATGATGCCACCGGTCATTTTGGGTATAGGAAGACTGCAGCAAATCTGTCGCAGCGGTTCTGGTGGCCCACAATGATGAAAGATGCGAAGCTGTACGTGGAGACTTATCAGGTGTGTCAGAGCGACAAGCCACGTACACAGGCCCCTCTTGGGCTTCTTAAGCCCCTTCCTATTCCGGAAAGGCCCGGTGAGAGCCTGTCTATGGATTTCATGGACACGCTGGTCACAAGCAAGAGCGGAATGACATATGTCTATGTCATTGTGGATAGGCTTAGTAAGTATGCTAGATTAGTTGCAATGCCTGCTACAGCTAAGACCGAGTACGTAATCAAGCTGTTCAAAGAGAACTGGGTCAGAGATTTTGGACTTCCAAAGTCTATTGTGAGTGACAGGGATGTCCGATTCACCAGTGAGTTGTGGAAGACTGCAGCTGCAGAACAGGGAACACAGCTGCAGATGACTTCTGGGAACCACCCAGAGGCAAACGGGCAAGCAGAGCAGCTGAACCGCGATGTACAACACGTGTTGCGGCACTACATTAAGCCCAATCAGGTGGACTGGGATGAGAAACTTGCTCTCATCGCCAGCCTGTACAACAACGCTGTGCACAGCGTCACTGGGGTGAGCCCCAACAGCCTGCTACTGACATTTAAACCTGGACTGCCATTAGATTTTCTCTTACCTGAGAATCAGCCTGCTGCTGCACCAGGCACTCTATAATTTGCTTATGGATATGAGCACCTGATGCAGCAAGCTGTAGAACAGATGCACAAGGCACAGGCGGCAATGATAGAGTCTGAGAACAAACACCGCCGCCCATCTACATTTCAGGTAGTGGACAGGGTCTGGGTCAAGTCCTCAGAACTGGGACAGGAGCACGGGATCTCCCGCAAGCTCATGCCACAGTACTTTGGACCATGGGAGGTTCTCGATATTGTCGGGGGTGATCCGGATGGGCCGTCATATGTAATTCGGATTCCTGGTCACCTTCGCACTTACCCTGTCTTTCACGCCTCCAAACTTGCACCTTTTGAGGAAACTGACCAGTTTCCCTCTCGTCGCTCAATGCTGCCCCCAACCATGGATGGAGAGATCGATGACATGGACCACAGGGAAATGCCAGTTCCAAGACCAACAGGCAGGGGATGTCCTCCTAAGCCGAAGCTGCAGTATCGCGTTCGGTTCAGACATCATACTGATCCTGAGGAGGACAGATGGTTTACCAGGGAGAAATGCAGACCGCTCCACAGGCTGTCACTCACTACGAGAAATCACTGCAGAAAGGAAAGCGCCTCATTGAGTAATGGGACTTCTCAGAGGACTGTCGAAGTATGGAAGAGGGAATGCGAGGCTCAAGGCCTCAATACGCCCTACTGGGCCCTATTTTCAGTACAGGCGGCCGCCCTAAGTGAAGGCAGGCTCGACCAAGGCCTACAGGCCCATTTTGGGGTCCCCACGCAACTGGGGAAATTCAGGCAGTTGCGCAGCGCCAGTTGGTTGAGAGCGCCCAGGCCCAGGCTTCTTTTTTCGTATGTAACTGAGGCAAGCCCTGGGCCAGATACCCAACATGGGCCGATCACAAGCTGCGGGCAGTTGGGCACGGGTAACCACCACAGGCCCTGGTCCTGATTCGTTCGGACTGGGGCTCAGCCTCACAGGGCCTACCGGAAGCTTCTGGACCGAGGCCCAATGCAGGCAGGCTGCATGCAGCAGGCAGGTCACGTCCATTTAGGAAAGTGCCTGGCCCAGGACTCCTCATTTGGGCACTGGCTGCATGCTGCGCAAGCGCTGCTGCGCTTAACGCTGGCCAGGCTCACGCGCTCACGGGCGAGCAGGGAGAGGCAGGCAGCCATAGCCGAGCTGCGTTGCATAGCTGGAGGGGGCGCATGGTGGTCCTTGGGTGCACGTGGCATCTGTGAGTGGGGGATCGAGGTTGTGAGTGATACGAGAGACATACCTGGTGCTTGAGGCGAACGGCATTGGCCAAGATCTGCTTGTACTTTGGGGAGCTGTTGACGTCACCAGCGACATTGTAGATAGGCTAGATAGGATCTGCCACTTGTAGTCTGGGCGCAGAGCGCCAGATAGGATGTCGACATTGGTTCTTTGTTGATGATGATGAGACTATTCCAACATTGTCACTTATGAGCTTTTGCGGTGCTCTTATTTGGTGGAACTCGTGTTGCAATTCAACTTTTGGTTCGAGGTCACGACTACCTGGTCTCATGTATATGATGCTGCTTGGTTTCTGAAGTTCGCTATCGCTCATTTTCCTTGCACTTCTCTCATGTATACTTTTATTCATCTTTTGGAGAACATAGATATCACTTCGTCTGAAGTTTTTCTTCCATATCTTTGTTTGAAAAGGTCGAAACTTCTGTCGCTCAGTTTCATTACACGATTTATATCTTTGTTTTGATCTTTTCCAGGACTGATCCCTCGCCATTTCAACATATCTTCCCCCATATGCTTTGTAGGGGAATGGGGGACTTGATCCCTCGGCATTTCAACCACCAATCATCCCACATGGCATTCCTTTTTCGTCGATTTCCGGAAAAAAAAACCGAAAAGATCGACACCCCTCGACATTCCTCCCCTGCATCCCTCAACACCCCTCTCCTACACCCCTCAGCACCCCTCAATGCCCCTCCATGACATCCCTCAACACCCCCTCAGCCTATATCCCTCATCAACCCTCCCCTCAACACTCCTACCCAACAAACCTCGACACCCCTCCCGAACACTTCTCAACTCCCCTACACCCCCC